GACTGCCGAAACGTGCCGAATGAAAAAGGTGAAACGTGGAGAATTATTGACTGTCGACAATCTTCGTCTGTAGGATGTCAAAGAAATTTTTGAAAAAGTGAAAATGTCAAGCATTAAATTTGACAAAATTCGTTGAAATATTAAAAAAGCAAAGTAACCTCAAACTTTACGTTGAAATAATGTCTGACGTTGATGGATAAAAAAAATAAAAATTCTCTCTTTCCTCATTTCCCCTAATCTATTATATATATATATATATATATATATATAAATCTGATTTTATACCTCGATACCTTTGTCGGACTCAAAGTCAACGGCCGTTGCATCTGACTGGCACGAACAATGAAATAAAGATGGTGGCCCGCAGGCTTTTAACGACATCAATAAATTCGTCGCCGATAAAAGCTTTGCGCTCTACGTTTTATATGCAGTGTAGTATTTATCGGTGTGAAAATAAAAGTAAAAAAAATTAATAATTAATCATGACGATCTTCTCTTTTTATCGTTTTCACTGTAATGTACCTTTCTTTATATACCTGTATATATGTTTTCTAAAACAAGAATTTTCCTCGTCCAATTAAAGGAAAGAATGCTCCTCTAGGATTCTAAAAGGATCCTCTAGGAGGATCAAGCTGAAGATATATTTTTTTTCGGAATTTTCTATTTCGCCTAAACGACAAGCTGCTGCCCCGTCCGTGCTATAATTTCCTGTACTTTGAGTTGGGTTATCCTCCAAGGAAGATGAACATTCCACGGACCCTAATGTCGATCGAAAAACCATCTCCGGTCTGTGTGCCTGTCGAAGAAATGTCATTAAATTTTGCGACAGCTGAGAACGTACAACTATTGCCTGATTGGAAATTACATTAATACGCAATTCACGTGGCACAGGATATATATATATATATATAATAAACAGGCAGCAGTATAATCAATGATAAATATAATCCTTAAAAACATAATTCATGATTCCCAAAATTTTGAGACGTCAAGTTGACACAGTGACGGGGAAGAATTGGTATCTGTGTCAAAAATCGCATCTGGCTTTGAATAAAAGAAAAATTATGAAATTTTGCCGTCGCAGGCACATTTTCGATATATTAAAAAAACGTATAAACGTACGTTTATTCAAACACGCGAACAGTCAGTGCATTTTTATACGGCTATATAATACGATTAACGTTAAATACGATTATTTACAGGCGCGCGTCCATCACGAAAACACAAATAAAATGTTACTTTGCAAATATATCAAAAGTGCGATAACGTCCAACGTGCGTTATCCATAGGCGACTGTGAGGCTTCGCGTCCATTTCTTGTATCCCGATCGTTCGAGTCGACATTGAAAGCCTCGTTAAAACTCGGCAGTAAAATATCGAAATTCATCGCTGAATCTCCAGCGTTCAAAAGTTCCGCCTAAGAATGATCCAGCCAATAAAACCACATGAATTTCCGAAGGTAAAACTTTTCGCGGCTAAGGATCTTCGAGAAGGCCGAAAACGACAGTCTTGAAAATGAGTTTTACCGTCATTTATTACCCGCGGCCGTGATCCGAGACCGGGAGTGTCCAAACTCGAGTACGGAATGTAGATGGTTAGAAAGTGAAAAAAAAAAAAAAAAAAAAAAAAAAAAAAATTACCAGACAAAAATTCATCCCCTCCGCATATATCTCGCTTCATATATCTCGCACGTTTCGACTGCCTTGCCGTTTGGTGTATTTTGAAAAATGAATAATCAATCGATTTTCACTAATTTATTAAAGCATCGAAGCAGCTACGATATTTGCATGTAAATATAACACGAAGCCGTGACGTAGTGGGCCGAGCATGTCTCCGTTAAGGCAGTAACAAGTATCAGAGGATAGAAGCTGGCGAGCAGCTTATAAATAAATGGCAGGGTTACTGGAACTTTTATAAAATGACTTGCCGCTCAGCGAGGCAGTACACAGGAGCATTGTGTGCCGTGGCGAACGTAAGCCCAAGGAGGGATGAAAAGGAGAGCAGCCACTGGGATGCAGGGCTTGTTTTACTTTGCCCCTGGCTGATACAAGTTCTCGCTTTGTCAACATTTACGAGGACAATCCAGTGGAATTACTGCAGCTTACCAGAATGTCTTACAAGGACGAAGCCTAAGATCGGAAGTTCTAGTTTCCTTAACGCCTGACAAGCCTTGAGAATATTAGAAGATAGTAGAGTAAGGATGCGCCATATTTATGCCGGCTTAAGAATGCGACAAAACTGTAAATTTGTATCCGGTACTGACTAGGGGAATATTGAGAGTCAAGGGGTATAAAGGAAAAATGGATTTTTGAATAAAAATTTCCTAGGGAAAAAATATCTCTTGTATTTCTGTAAATGAAAAAAAAGAAAAGACATTAATTCCCTACACGATTCAAATTGGATGTGTCATGGCGCGAGGCTGGGACTTTGTCTTGCCAGACGTTCTCGCCGGAGACATCGGTCATAGAATTTATTCTATGTATAAGCAAACGTTTGGGGACACGCGCGGCCACGTGGGAAATGCAGGCCAATGTGAAATGATGGTTAAGGGGGAAATAGAAGAGAATTTCGTTAAGGATATAGGAAACGTTGAAGTAGGTTGTCGATGCGGATATTGTCGCATATTAAATTTAAAAAGTTATTAAATATTGCCCTCGGGCAAATTATCAATGTCTAGTGTCGTGCTACCGTGAACAGTTTATACCCTGAATTAAAAAATATTAATACTGAAACTATTCGACGAGCAGAGCGATTAGCCTAAGATTTAAATAATAACAGCGATTATTACTTTCTATCGATAATAGGCAATTTGTTACTGGATTATTTTGAAATATATCGCGCACCGATGCACACGGCGATATGCAGTTATTTGTAGCCGTAAATCTGTATATTAAATTTCTGAAATTCAATTGCTTTAATTGCGTGACAGTAGATATCGAAAAGACGCTCGAGTCTAGACACAAAATATAATATCATGTAATTAGTCTGAAAACGGCAGCGTTATTATTGAAGTGAAAGGTCAAAACCCTCCACTGTTGAATATTTCGAAATATATGAATATTTTTCTTACTGTTAGTGAATTAGTAGTTTTTCAACTCAATACCATTGCAAATAAAGTTTTTCTACTATCTTGGGTTATATCATAAATTTTCTAGTAGATTTTCTATTAGATTAGATACGCCAGTCACTAAGGATGAACAAAATGAAAAATCGTAGAGTTAAGATCAGCATTATGTCACGATTGAATTATACATTTACATATATGTGCAAACCTTTTTGTTTACCCAGTTAACTAACACGACTAAAATCTGTTGAATAGAATCGAAATATGAATAAAGTTATGTTATGTTACACGACGCTAATATAATCTCTTGTGGTGACAACGTAGAAAAGCAATACCGAGTTAGTCCCTTTGAATTCCATTGTGTATATATTTGTTTCAATGGGGTTTACTCTTCACCTTCCAATTTCGATAAACTTTCCTTGATACGTCTAAAAGTCTGAGTGTGTTCCGAAATGTACTGACAGTACTGTAGAATTAATTAGATCTCTTTTAGATGCGTATGGGTGAATAAAGACACAGCGTTGATTACAGTATGTACTGGCAGTACTGGCAGTACATTTCGGAACACACCCTTCTGATGCAATCAAGAAGAGTGCGAAGTTGTCTTCGGGTGGAATTCTAGTTCTTGCGACGACAGCACCATCTAGTGGGGTACAACTCAGTAAGGCTAGTGCTTCAAAATCATGGAAATAAACTATCAAGACAAACTAGCAGATACAAATTTTTTATGTACAAAAAATATATATAACAGTGGAAGTAGAATTTGTACTGTTTCGATCAAAACCGTTAAAATAATTGCAGTAATATTAAATCAATCGACACGGTTGGTAACAGTATGACGTTTATATTTGTGGCAGCACTGCCGGAAACCGACAAGGAGCTACTACAAATTTTCAAACGAGTTAGTCATTTCAACCACAAAAATATCAATATCCAACAATCAAAGAGTCGTATAATTCATTTAAACTAACAAAAAAATCAATATTAATCGATATTGTCAATCGAATTGTCAATCCTTTGGTTCTCATAGGATGCAACATGCATATACGGCAAGCATTCTGATACGCAATTATAGCGTCACTATAGTAAGTAGTTTCAAATCGCAAGGACAAAGAAGTAGGGAGATCCCCTACCCTATCTACTTCCAGAAGCGTCGGTGGCAGTGTAACGTATTTTTCAGTCCTTCGTCGGTCATAGGTGTTGTGAGGGTTTTTGAAGTTTTAATACGTTTACCATATCAAAATCTTAACAATTATGGAGAATGATATCGCAAGAATTCGCATAAGCTATGCGTACAAGTTGAACTTGAGTAAAGAAGATGCTGTAAAATTATTTGTGCATACTATAACGGCTAATCCAGAATGTGCTAAGCTTAAAAAGAACATTCCAGAAGCAATTTTATACAAAAAGAAAGGTAAGTTGTATGATATTATTCACAATCAGAGAAGTAAACGAACAGTTTTATCGTGGATTGACAATATTTCGTTAATCAGTCTTAGCAGTGTCGCGGTTATATTTTTATATTTTGTTCTAATTAATTATTAGATAAGTGGAACGTCTATTTTAGTTCTCTTTTTTTTCTGATGAAAACAGCCTATTACGCTGTTTACAATGGGCACGTAATATCTATATTTCATTACGGCATAACGCAGTACATTTAATTATGAAAAATAATCTACCTATGTATATCCCCCGGTGATCTTTATGATCTTTGGAAACAATAATACGGTCGACTATATAAAGCATAATACGCTGAATGAAACGGCACGAGTTGAACAATGAAACGGCCGACATTTCCATGGCTTCCAATTTTACATTCAATCATTTAATCGCTTGATTACTTAATGCTACGTAATTCGTTTTTTCCCTCGCAAATAGTATTTCTGTTCAATTCATTTTTCCTTTGCACGCACTTCAGTCTTCTGTTTTTCATGTCGACGTTAACATTGTTTCATCTATTTGCGAGGATGTTATCCTTGGCGAAAACATTAAGGCCGTTTGATCCGTCAGGCCAAAGAAGTCAAAATTCGTTTAACATCCTTGTTGCCGAGCGACCGAAGCGACAGGAACGCCATCTCTTAAGTTTTCTTTCTTCACAGGAGATTCCAGTTTGGCAGACAGCGCGTATAAGGATGCTCTTAAACATTACACAAAGAGCTTACAACTAATTCCAGATAATACCGATAAAGAGGCCATTATCTATATGTCGCGGTCGGTTGTTTTAAGAAAACTCCAGGCTTACGAGGAAGCTGTAATGGACGCACAGAGGGCATTAAGATGTCCCGTTTCGGATGATTTGAAAAAAAAATTATATACTCGTATTAAGAAACTACAATTCCATCTAGCCAAAAAATCAAGGATGGAAAAATTAACTAACAAATTTCGCGAGGATTGCCCTATTGTTGCGTATGGGGAAAATTCTGAAATAGCTGGGGCAAGCAGTGCTTTGATTCTTTCGAGGGACAGCGAAAATATTCTTCGGCTTTTTACCTCAAGACCTGTTAAGGCTGGGGACGTTCTGCTGGTGCAGAAACCCTATATAGCCGTAGTTGATGAGATAGAGGAAGATTCAATATTTACTTGCCATCATTGCCTGAAACATTATTTGGCTCCTATACCATGCACTTCGTGTGCAAGGACACTTTATTGTAGTACAAAGTGCTGTAACGAAGCTTATAATATTCATAAATATGAGTGCGATGTATCACTTTGCAAAACTATGGAATTCATAGCATATTTGAAAATGCTCATTTTTGTAGCCAATCAAGGTACTAGCATATATAATAAAAAAAAGAAACAAAATATGTACTTCGAACAAGAATTATATGTGAGTTTTGATTTCATCGTAGAATCATATTTTTTTTTTATTGTTCCTCATATAATCAGGTCGAGGGGCTGATGATGGATTAATAGCAAATTGCCATCGTGTAATTGATTCGTTGGTGCCTTTGCTGTTGACCGACAAGGAAAAAGTCGAAAATAATCATTCACAAAATTACTTAGCATCATTTATGGCTGTCTTTTTAAAGACAAACACAGATTTTTCTAGCGAAGACTATGATGTGTGTGGGTTGGCACATGTAATTTTACGTTTGGGATATTTGATCCAGACTACAAGTGCCAGGGTAAGAGGATTCAGTTTCTTTCAATAAGTTTTATAATTGATGTGACATTAATTTCTTTTCATACATCATACAGATCAAATGCGGTTCGAAAAATAACATTCCGGGTATCGCTGTTTATCCGGTTTTAAGTTTGCTTCAATGTTGTGAATGGAACGTTATATCATACACATATGGAACTACTGTCAACGTGGTGCGAGCAGGTAGAGACATTGCACAAGGGGAGCAGGTATTTACGTATAATTTTATAATTATTAAAAAAAAATGATAGCCCTTTTAACATCAACCTTCAATGATTATCATTTTGACTATACATTATATTTTAGATTTTCGAAAACGATTATCAAGCTATCATACAGAAAACGGTTTTCGAGACTGAGAGAATTCAGTTAATAAATGAAGTATATGTATTGTGCTTCCATAATAAACATAGCGAAGACTATACGCCAGTATGGATTGAAAAACTAAAATTACCCCTACGCTTGGTAAGACGTTTAAGAAAATCTCCAAACAACATACGATACATGTGGGAACTGATGGACTTTATGAACAAGAACGCAAAAAAACCATGCTCCGGTCTCGACTATATGAAAATGTTTTTGGAAGATGCTTACATGGGTTGTGAGAACGCAGTGAGTATACTGTATTGTTTGTTACGGACGTTGATTTTGTCAAAAAACTTCCTTCTAAATGATTTTCGTCGCGATAATATTTTTTTAGTGGCTGCGACGGTTCTACGAGGATATTGGACTCTGGTAATGAGACTGGAACATCCAGTGCCACTGATCAACAGTATTATTTAACGAGCATAACAAGTAGATAAACAGTTATATGAATAAGAAAGCCAACAGTGTATAATTAAAAGTTCATTTTACTACTAAGGTTCAGTGAAAACTGGCAGAACGTGCCAATGACAATTCATTTATCATTTTTTACATTTGCATCTAAAAGCCAAATTCGGCTAAAGTATCAATGAGATACTTAACTAAATTATTGGCTTATTATTAGTTTTACATTATATACCTCGTCGAGAGTCACGAGTAAGTTACATCATGATAAACAAAAAACTGAAAGAAGTCTTATAAACATTACTACATATTCCTACATACAAGTACATATATTTTACCATGTTCTGTTTAAAAAGCTATTAGCCTTTCAAAGATCAGACATAATAAAAGTATCAGCAACACGACTCTTGTTTCCTTTCTTCTTTTCTCAAAATCAACGTACACTTATCGTAAAAGAAAAAAAAAGGTCCAATTAACACGAAATCAAGAACTACCAGAGTCCATTAAGCACAAAGCAAAAGTCCCAGACACTTCGTGACGCTAAACTGGAACTAAAAGTCGGTTCGGAGTGCAGGCAAACGTATTAACAAGAAGTTTTATTATAAATGACCCGGCTGTGGCAGGTTAACGAAACTTTTGGGTTGCCGGTCGCTCAACCATCCAAGAAAAGCAGCCTCTGCCAATCAATAACACGAGACGTAAAGGCGCAAGGGAAGTTTCCTTCTAACGCTAACTAAACTCGTGGTCTGATCCTTCATTCATCCCCTAATACAATATCTTCCCACTAAATTCCTCAGAAGCAAAAGATCCGACATTCCGAAAATTAATCTTAGCCCAAGACCTGAAGTCTCTCCTATATATGCAAACGTATACACATCCACAGCTACCTCCAAGTACTTAGCTAAGATAATGCTGCACAGTGCACCCTAATGTAGTAACCGTACATTACTTCACTCAGAAGGAAACCCGTCACTGATGCGCCTAATGGTAAGGAACCCGTTCAGTTAGCAGGATTCATTGAAGCATAGAAAGAGCCGATTACAATTCCATTGTGCTCGGCAACTCAATTCGCCCTTTTGTTAGCAACTCACCCTCTCCATAAATCCGTCTATTCCCATCTCTCTTTCTCTCAATTAATGTCCTACTGAATCAGTGGTACTAGCAGTCGGTATTAATAATGCAGAAGTACTTGTTGCTCGCTATTGATTAGCATTCAATAAGAAGCATGTCAGGTATTCTAAACAAAGGACCAAGAAATTTAATTTTCTCTTCATTAAACATACAACACACAGGGTAAGCAAAAATTAAAATATTTCAATAATACAGCCAGTCCATTACGTCGAGTGTACGATTCGCAGTGAAATTTTACAGGAAATATTGTAACTGTATACTGGAAGTGTGTTAAGGGTTGGATACGTGAAACGAGAGCGGATGTTTGTCATACAGAGTTTCCGTGACGAACGCGACTCTACTGTGGTAACAGTGGACTTATATACTTCCGGAAAACGCGTACGTGAGTAGCACCCATGATATTTCTTGTAAGTCACCCCCTGCTATTATTATTATCATTACTATCTCTTTTTCCCTTTATCCTGCATCCTCGTAGACACTCTTCCAAGATGTTGCCTCCGTGAAGATGGATTTCTATGATATTCTATTCATCCGGCAAGAAAGCATCATTGTCGTATGATAAACAGTAAAGCACGGATTACGTTTCCAGTATCAGGTCCAAGTACGTATATATGTATATATATATATCTTTCCGTTCTTCAGTCACAGAAACTATTCTATCTTTATATCGCGATATCAAGTACACTCTTGACTCTGGTACTAGACATAAATATGAATGTCGTGCAAGAATACTTTTTTTTAAATTTTCTTATCATTTTTGTACCAGCGCGTACGTCAGTCGTCCCATACGCGTTCAGTGTAGTTTAATTTTTATTTTATTATCCTTGGTACTTATAGAAAATATTCTATCGATTCTTGCGACAATTATTCATCATGTTTAATTACATTTGTACTGTTACAGACACTCTCTTTCCACCTCTCCTCTTTCGAGTGGTACTTCATTATTTCATGGAGATACTGTACACGTGTATACACAGTAACCATTATCAGATCGCAGAGGTATAATTTAACAGCGAGCTAAGTTCTCATCAAGACTAGTAGTTGCCATGCAAGCAACTCCCAAAGTAAACCGAAATTCCCAGGCGAAGCTGCCGCTGACACGACTATTGTTTAAGGCCAGCGTGCCCCTGCATAATAATACCCACGTTAAAATTACCGTGGGATGCTAACCAATTACTTGAGAACTCGGAACTTCCTATATAAGGAGAATTCGGCGCCACCTTTGACTCAGTGAGCTGCAATTTGGCCAACGGAATCAGACACACTATTGGAACTGCAGGGACACAGTTTCATTTGACGAGATCAATTAATGCCCTTGGAACGTACCGATTGAGATTAAGAGTAATTATTTAATCACTCGAGACTACAAGTGCCCTCCTATCATCGTTCCAGAAAATAATCAGATTCAACTAGGATTTCAATAAAATTCAACAAGTCAAACGTGAAGATGAATCTACGTACACATTTATGGATCAAGACGTTGTCGCCATGCGACAGGGAGCAACATAAATTCAGCACTGACTATACATCTGTCACTCAGCAAGTATCCAATAGGAAATCGACATAGGTATAATAACACAAAGAGCCCAAACCGTTTTCAAATCATATCACATGCATTTTATCCATCAGCAACGACGACAGCTCCAAATGTCACATGTGTATTCAGATTCACAAGTATTTCCATATACAAGGATGCCTGAATAATATATGTATTCCTAAAGTATGTCTAAACAAGTAAGAAAGAAATCAAAAGTTCATTCGACAAGACCTGTCAGAATCATTAAGAAGCCTTCGAAGCCCCAAATTGTTGGCACTGTTAATTTTTATATTTTTTTCTTCGCAACCTACTTTCAATCGAAAGAGAAAAAATCAGCCAATCACTCCTCCACACTGGTTTGCCTCGTGACTCCAGATACAAAAGCGGCATTGCCCTCTGTATCCTTAGTCACCATCGATTGCACGCGTCAGCCAGTTTAAATGAACGACGTTAAATAAGATTGTACCATAACAACACGAAGCAAAAACTGTAACTGGGTCAGCAACCTAGATCCGAGTTATTAGCATTTATACGAGCACCGGTCACTTTGTCGCATGGAAAGTGCATCGATGTAAATCGTTATTAATAAATTTCTCTCAGGTTTTACAAACCTGCTTATCATACCAACTCTCAAAAGGACGCCAAGAGTAATAACTCCATGCACGTCACATGATGTTAACAAAGTGTCAGACACTCTGATTCCGTGTCAAGTCCCATAGTCCACCCTGGCCAACGTTACAATACTGAGCACGAGTGTTCAATAATATAAGGACATCCTGAAGAGGCTATTTGCACCGAAGAGGCTTGTCTGCCGTCTGAAATAGTCGATCTGGAAGCTGTCGATATCCAGGTGGAAGACAAGTATCCGTTGCACGTGTCGCAGCATCCAGGATGGTACGACTGGGTGGTTATGTACGTACTGTAGTAGTATGGTACATGGGGAAGCTATCAGTATATCGCAGTCGTCCTGTGGAAGAGGTTTCAGAGCGTCACCCTGGTTCAGTACTGTATATACATATGGTATATACAGTATACAGTGTATATATACATATGTATACACACATAGAATTCGAGTTACCAGGACAGTAATATATTTGAGGTATGTCGCGGGTACCAGTTTAGAGTTACGGGAAACCGAAATGGGATCCATCGTCCCTTGGAAGCTTTAGCACCCTTAGACTGGCTCTACATCCCCTACTCATAAAGCACGTGTAACGTGCAACTGAGGCAGTATAAATTATCAAGAGCGAAGGTTGATACGTCTTGGTCAAAGCATTCGTCTGAACTAGGATGGGTAACGTATCTGTTGGTAGTACTAGAATTAGAATCTGGTACGTACGTAATTGTACTTGTACGTACTGGGTTAATGGCATTCTGGGTATTTCGATCGTTCCCGCAGACACGTACAAGTACCGCTGCTGTACTAATCTCGTGTACTTACGTTCAATATTATGAGATACTACTGCTAGCTTCTATACCATCCTGGTATTGTAAGTGTACTGCATTGTATCGCTACTTGTACCACACGACGTCAGGCAGCGAAGCGCAGATTTCCACGCGTTTCGCTCGAACGTTCGATCGTTCACGGTTGAGCGGCCATCTTGTCTCTCGCGACGCGCCTTGCGCCACTGTCGATCCTTCCGAACGAGAGAACCGCGAAAATCCGTTAGCGCGACCCTGAAGTTCGAGAATTCACGAAAGAGCATTACGGTATCGTGGATTGATGTACAGTGCGTGCTCGTGGATAACGATTAATGAGAGACGCCTGATGAATTTTGGCAATAGAGGTTAAATAGAATGCATATAGATATAGAGAGCCTATGCGATAGGAAATTCGCTTGTCAATTTGATTGCTAAATATTTTGGATTTCACGAATGGCTAATACGGTCTGTTTCAATTTCGAAATTTCTAATTAACATAATTCGATAGGACGGACTGTCGCTCCGTAGGAAATATAAGTATATTCATACGGACGGAGAGACAGGTAGATGTGTACATTCCTATACTAAATAAACGGTCAGACCGACCTAACCTCAAAAGGGTAAATTAATTTAACCGCCAGGGATAAGCCTTACGGGAGTCAATGGTAATTTTCAAATTTACGTAATACCAAGCCACGAACCCAAGAACGAACCTAACGGCATTACCAGCAATGAGTATCGCTCGGGAAATACTTTAATTACGCTTAATGGCGCCGTTAGGCGCCCATTGTAATCAAGTGAAATTTCACGCCAGCAATGTCTACCTGTATCCAAATATTTTCGCTCGTCGTTTGATAATCAATTTCAAAAGAAAAAAATAATACCGTACGTAGATAACGAAATATTATGCAATACCGGCCCCCGTGGCCCTAGTGAGGTACTGCGTACTAACACCTGCCTTATATTTCCCAGCACATACGGTGCTAGACGTATAGAAAATATTCTCCATGGAATAAAATCGCGTCTGCATCATTGTTGCACTTTTCGTGTGGTTGCTTCGAGTTTGTTTTTCTTTGGCTCGAAGTAAACTGGAAACTGAGATAATCCTATGCGGGCTTGAGAAATGGAAGTGCGGTGCAGTATACGTTATGCCGTACAGCACAACCAGAGTATACTTTGCCCTGATAATATATACAGTGTGGTCACACAGTCTCTAGTACTGTACTGGAAGTGGAAGTTATGCTCCTTAGGAATATCAATTAATCCAATTTTCAATCGTAATGACTTTAGCCACAGCGTATTCTGCAATCAGTGTTGCACCGA